CAAATAAAGATGCTGTCCTCCTACTGGTTTTCAAGGCTGTTTGCACCAAAGGGTGCCTTTCCTTAATCTATTCTCCAAGAGGGTGTGCCTTGTTAATTTGCATAAAAGAGTAGAGGTTAGTGACAGCTTGATCTAATCCTAGAACAGGACCTTCAGTGACACACTGTGCAAGACTTGGTCTTCGAAACCAGACTGGGTCTACATGAGAATGGAGAAATAGCACATATACACACGCACACACACACACACACACAGGCTGAGGCTGGGTGGATTATGTTCACTCTGATGGAGGGTGTCTGCCGTGCAATGCAGAAACTCAGCTCCAGCACAAGGGAGGGGTTTCCATAGTGACCAGCCTGGGTTTGCAGTCACCTTCAAGGAGGGAGCTGAAGCTGCTAGTGGTACACACTGGTCAATTGTTTGTAAACCTTCTTCTCGGAGCAGCCATTTCTGTGAGCCTCACCCAGGGAAGGCTGTGCACATGTCGGTGACACACATTTGCTCAGGACTTCATCTGCTCCTTACACTTAGATCATCAAGAAAATGCAAAATCATCTTCATGTTTCGGTGTAGGTGTATAACATACATAGGTTCAGTGTTGGAAGGACACACTTTAGTTATTGGTGACAGTTAAGTTAGGTGAAACATCAGAAATAAATGATTTTATCAGCTCTAAATGACAGTTTGATATTCTGTGCCTGTTTCCTTAGTTTGGTAAATAAAGAATGCTTGTTTGATCAGAACACTGGGGTCAGGGAGGGATGACCTCTTCGAGCTTTATGTAGACCTTTATTGAGTATAAGACAGAACGCTGAAGTGCTTGTGTCAGGAGATGGGCAGCCGGCATCCGTTAGCATCTCCTCCATTCTGTCTGGATCTCTGCTAGTTTCCATATCTAAAAGCCATCAAAACGACAATTCCCAAAATAATCTTCCATCCGGCCAAGAAAGGGATCCTGGGAATGCTTCTGCTTTGTGTGACAATGCTGGATCATTTTGGACTGACAGGTAATTATACCATACGACTGTTTTCTATAGTTTATCTGGTCACTACAGCCCAGCTAACCTGCAGAGACAATGGAAACTTTTTCTTAACCTCCACAACATAACACTTCCCTAAGAACCCAGTGTTGAGGCATTTCTGAATGACAGAAATCACAGGAAAAGGTCATTATAGAAACTGATGTGTCCATTCAAATTTCCACAGACAGCAGCATTTATGGAAGGAGGAAACAAATGAAAACCTCCATTCTGTGCTACAAAAAAGGCCTGAGATTGGGATCCTGAAACCGTGTAGCTCAGGTTGGATTCTGCTCACTCAACCCAACCAAAGCATACTGGGTAGCTCTGAAAAATTGTCCTTCCTCGTTCCCTTTCTCCCTCCTTTCTTCTCTTCCTCCCTTCATTTCTTCCCCCTTCCTTCTTTTCTTCTCTGATCCCCTTGTCTCCTCCTCCTCCTCTTCTTCTTTGTGATTTTTGTGAACTTACCTGATTCACATTTCTTCCTGGGAAAAGTTATTAGGGTTTCTAACTACCTCAGCTCAATGCTGTTTTGTTTGTTGTTTTGCCTCTTAATTTGCCTAGGAAAGGGCAAATAGAATACTTGCAGAATTACCCGTAAGAAATGCATTTTGCGCTTTAAAAATGCCACAAATCGAACTTTTCAGGAAAGGATTCATAAAATCCAAGAGGAGAAGGCATTGAATTCATGGAAGAGCCTGTTCCCATCTATTTTGAGCAGATTCCCCTTGCTAAGCTATGAGGTCTGCTGGAAAAGCACCCTCATCTCCATGACCCTCTGGCCCTTTCAGGAAAGCACGATCCAGGGAAGCAGGAAGGCATGGTCTAGGGATGCAGGAAGGCACGGTTCAGGGACACAGAACATGATGGTACAGGCATGGTCTGGGATCAGTTTCTCCTGGATGTAGGATTTGAGGGCTCACAAAGGCTTTGTAGTTGTTTTCACCCATTAACGTCTTGAAAAATGATCCAAAATTTCAGATATTTATGCTTTCCTTAACAATTTAATGACCAATTGCTAAATTAATCTAGAAAACACTTATGGATTACTTATCCGCTTACTGCATATAAACCCTCCCTCTAGGTGCTGGATTCAAAAGGGTCTGGCTTTGCTACTAAGAGCCAAGTGAGATACCCCTACCCAAGAAACCCTCCTCTGGACTGAGCACACTGAGAGCACCAGTGACACCATTCCATAACATCCCAGAACAGTACTGAGAACAGCAACTTCTGTCTAGTAGCTATCGCAGTGAATTTCCATCATTAAAATCCATGATAGGGGCTGGAGAGCTGGCGCTGTTGGGCGAAGCACGAAGACATGATTTAGGATCTCCAAAGCTCTTATGAAAGCCAGAGAAGGCATCAAGTGTCTGTAATCTCCACTACCCTGTGGTGAACTGGGAAGTAGCAACAAGAGAATCCTTGGAAGCCGGCAGACTAGCCTGGCTGGCATATGTGTGGGGAAAGGTGAGGACCAACAGGTAAGGTTGTTCCAGCCTCTACATGTACATTCACACACCTCCACCACCACCACCACACATATGAAAAGCACAACAATACAGTCAGCAACCAAAACACAGAGGAAACCAGAGTGCTTTTTATTTTGCTGCCTTAGGCAAATAAGGTCCACTGCCCCTCACATAGCAGAGATGGGATCAGACAAAGGTTGAGATGAGTACTTCTGGGGCTCAAATAGGACATTTTTATAGATAGAGGAGAAGTGTGAGGATAGCTGGATGTCAGGGACAGCGCCCCCGGAAAGGAGTCCTCACACCCGAGAGAACACGAGGGGGTTAGAATGCATGAATACGTGTGATGAAATTGTTTTTGTTCTGGTGCGAAGTCCATGCTGGCTCCTGTGTGAAACTGGAGGCCAGACCACACAGAAGGGAAGACAAGGCCCCAGAGGCTGCCTCCCTCTCCCTGCTCTGGAGACGTGTGAGCAGCCAGTGAAGTGGTCTTCTCTAAATAACAGTTCGCGCTCTCAGCTCGACTCAGCACTGCCGCTCAGATACGGAAAGTATGTAACAAGATGGCTACTGTTCTCCCACAATCCTTTGGAAATGGCAATTTTCCTATTACATGGATTTTAATAGTGAAGTTTTCCTTGACAGTAAAGCACAAACCACTCAGTGAGACAGAGTTAAAACATCCTGCAAAGACAGCCTCTCAGAGCAGGCAGGGCCCTGCAGCTACCATCAATCTGTGAGCATGCAACCTCAAGACAAGACACGTGTGTTGCCACAACTCACTGCCCTAAAAGGAGGTTATTTTGCTGTGCTCTTCTTCCCATGGTACTCTTTGGGACACTTGTTTTAACACGTGGCCACTGGGAATAAAAAGCGTGTGAGGCAGAATCAAAGAGGACACTGTGGGGCTTCGAGGGTTTTGTCTTGGAGCTGCTGGAGCATCGTTTCTCTCCCACGTGTGTTTTGTTTGAGCAGAGTGTCTTGGTTTTCCATCGGTAGCTGGAAGATTTGTTAATCAAATGAATTCCAGTCTTCACAAGGGACTCTGCTCAGCCTGTGTGTGACAGCTTGGCCTCTGGGGACAGTTTCTGCCCCTGCTAGCAAAATTTCCTCATCAGGTTACCCCGGCCCCTTTAATTTAAAATTTCATACTAAACATTTAGTTTCTTTTTATCTTAACCCTCTTAAATGGCAAGTGCCCAGAAGGAATTGACACATCTGCGGGCTCTCTGGGGACACTTGCTGACCAACATTCACGGCCGGGTTTTAAACTCTGCAGTTCGGTACAAGCTGAAAAGCCAGCACTGTGGTTTATGCAAAGCTGGCTTGTGACTCCACCTGCTGCTACTGGACCTTTTTGTGAGTGTGAGGGCACGCACATGAGCTGTAAAAATGCGTGGCTCCAAGAGCCTGGATAGCTGTCCGTTTTCTGTCTGTAAGTGCTGGTATCTGACGAGTGTGTTTAGGAGTGCATGTTTTTGCACATTTGCATGTAAGTGTATGTGTTTATGACTGTGTGTGGGGATGACGGAAGGGCTGGTGGATGTGTGTTTATGTGGGTGTACATCTGTCCGATGTTTGTGTGGATATGTACATGATTATAAGTGTATATACACAGGCTACAGTAAGTATGAGTGTTCGAGAGAGCACTAAGGAATGCACACGTCTGTAGCTGCCTGCCTGAGTACCAATTTGCGGGTTTGCATTTTTGAGAAGTGTATACTGAGGGTGTGTTTTTGTAATTGTGAATGTGTATCAGTGTGCAGAAGCGTGTGTTATTCGTGACTGCGTTGTGCTCTTCTGCGGTGTATGACTGTTAGCACTGGGTGAAAGGGCACTTGCTAATTTAGGTTGCGAGAGCACATGTACTGTGCTCCTGAGCCTATTGTGTGCGTGTGCATGTGTGCTTTTGGGTACGAATATGAGACTTGTGTGGTTTGCGTGTGTGATCTGGTGTCCGTGTGTGTGTGTGTGAGCGTGTGTGTGTTCAGTGTGCGTTCCCCTGTATGTGTGAGGGCACATCTGTGCGTGTTTGCACTGTGAGCAGCTGGGTGCCACCACGCTTCTGCCCCTGCCGGGCGGGCTGCCCCCTCCAGGCCGGCCCGGCCGAGGCAGGGTCCTGGCAGGCGAGCGAAGGATGCGCGCGGCGAGCAGGCACGCCTCCGCGGCCGCCACCGCGCCGACTGTACCCTTCCAGCGGCTCTCCAAGCCGATTACAGCTGCTCTCCCACGTGACGTCTTACCTTCTGTCCCCCGGAGCGCGTGGCCCGGGGACAGTGCTCGGCTGCCGCGCGCCTCGCGGCGCTCCCCGGCGAGGGCTCGGCTCCGCAACTTCGGGCGCAGGGGCACGGTGCGGGCGCCCTCGGAGGGCCGCTCGGCCCCGGGCTTCCGGGAGCAGGAGGCGCCGCGGACCAGGAGGGCGCGGCCGGGGAGGGGACGGCGCCCCAGCCCAGGTCGGGCGCGAGCCGCGGGCGGGGCGCCGGGGGCAGGCGGCCCGGGGGCGACCTCCCGGAGAGCGCGCCGCGATGGCCCCGCCGCGGGGCTGAGGTGCCCGCACGCCCCTCCGCGCCCTCGCCATGCAGAAGAGCCTGCGCTACAACGAGGGGCACGCCCTGTACCTGGCCTTCCTGGCACGCAAGGAGGGCACCAAGCGCGGCTTCCTGAGCAAGAGGGCGGCCGAGGCGAGCCGCTGGCACGAGAAGTGGTTCGCGCTCTACCAGAATGTGCTCTTCTACTTCGAGGGCGAGCAGAGCGGCCGCCCAGCGGGCATGTACCTCCTGGAGGGCTGCAGCTGCGAGCGGGCGCCCGCGCCACCCCGGACCGGCGCGGGACCCGCGGGCGCCCGGGACGCGCTGGACAAGCAGGTACCTCGCGCGCTCCGCTCCCCGGGCCCCAGCCCCGGGCGCCTCACTGCCTGGCTCGCCCAACTCTGGTGCTGGGTGGACAGCGCAGGGACAATGCGGGGAGACCCTGCAGCCGGGCAGGTTCCTGGGTGCGAGCAGAGACCCCTAACACCACCCCTTGACCCCACCGCCAGGAATCGGCTGCTTTAGGGATCAGGCTGGTTTTGTTTTCCCAATCCTCTTACAAGTTAGGTCGGATTCTTTCAGTTTCCTCCCTAACCCCTCCGCACGGCTCTAGCCCTTACTCAGATGTGTGGCGGTGTGCATCGGTACCTGTTGGATTTGGATTGGCTTGGTGAAAGCAAACTAACTTACTAGGAAAAGTTTGGTTTCTCCTTTCGCTGGCAGAGTTCTTCACCTGCAGGTAATGGCTCACCGGTGGTACTGGGAACAAACCGAGCCACCAAGACAGGTGCTGTTGTTGGTGTTGGTCCTTGCCAATCATGCTTTGCAGTTTAGGTCACTTTCCCTTGTGAACGTTTGACCGACGAGGTCAGCATGAAGATACGGTCTCCTGAGGATTAGAATTTGTCACTGAGTTTATGTTTAAAAACAAACAAAACACTCTTACTCTAAAGTAAGTCCGACCTTTTAGCTGTAGGTCATAATTTGAATGGTTTTGTTGTATGCTCAAGGTGTGGACCAGGCGCTAGCTTAATCGGACTTCCTGCAAGTAGGAAACATTGATTTCAAACGCCAGTTGTCTATTAAAGTTAAAGAAGAATGGCTTTATTTAGCCAAATGCTTTCTTTTTGCCTCTATATCTATGACCCTGGAAGGAGGAGCTGGGGGTGGTCCCACTGGCTGCCTTTGCTGGGGCAGAAAAAATGTTTCTAGAAGGATGAATTTTCTGTGCAAGTCGTACCAGGCTACGTCCACTGCAAACTCCGAGCCTGCGGCAGGCTCAGTGGAATGGTGGCGAGAGTGCATATGGCCACCTGATTTTCCTGCCTTTTAAAACAAAGCTTAGAACTCAGAGGAGCTGAAACCACACCATGCAGAAGACTGGTTTTTGTTTTCACTGTAAATCATTAACTTTGGTAAATGATAAGTGCTTAAACCCATTAAAAGAGTAAGAATTTGAAATTTAAAAGATGCCCTTTGACTTTTGAAGGTGTTTTCAGTTATTTGAAAAACTAGTTTCTAAACTGGCAGATACAGGTATAAGAAATGGAAAAAATTCAAGTTGTGCAGTCTAGAATCTAAGTTAGGAGCAGAGTTTTAAGAATGTGTGTGTGTGTGTGTGTGTGTGTGTGTGTGTGTGTGTGTTTGAATATTAAGTGTTAGAAGACATACAAGACACCTTCCCTCCCCCAAAAAAGGATTTTAAGTGCTTTTATGTCTGAAATAAAGCAGGGTTCTTTAAAGGTTTTAATACATATCACTCAAATCCAAATTCTTTGCTTCCTTTGTGTTTCCTAAGTTAGCAGTAACCGCTTCTTGGCTACTCTGGGGCTGAGTTCCAGAGCTGTTAGAGCTTTTGCGCTGTTAAGCCTGCTAACATTGTATGTAAAGCGTTGCTTATCTGCTGGAAAAAATCAGGACTTGCAGCTTCAGGACAGTTTTCTTTTAAGTCGACTCTAATAGGGACTTGAAAATGCTGAATAATTAGGGGTCTAGGAAGGTCATCTTATATAAGTGTTTTTTCTCTTTGCCATCATTTGAGTCATGGTGCCTGTCATTTCATGCATATTTGGGACCTTTGAGGTTTGTAGATAAAACTGAGATGTAGTGATGCAGCCATTCCAGAAAGGATTTGAACTTGGGCTTGGAGAATTTTTAAATTTTGTGAATGTTAGAAATGCTTTGTTGACGTGGGTTAGCCTCGATGAGTAATGCTTTTCTTAAACACTGCTCTAGAGGCCACTGAAGAATTAAGAAGAGACACTGGGAATAAGAGAGGAGAAACATTCCATCTTAACTCTATAGCGTAAGCAGCTGGCCTCCCTTCAGTGAACGGTGTCACCTTCCAATACCATGATCATGTGTTTCTGAGGCTATAAAAATTTGCCACATTTTGCTATGTAGAAATGTGAACAGCAAACAAGCTCTGAAAATTTAAGGGCAGAGGTGATTGAAATGGGCCTCCGAGAAAGCAGGTCATCAGCCACACAGACCTGTGAGGACACCATTGAGTAAGTCAGAGGCATCACTGAGATAGAAAATGGCATCTTTGGTTGATGGAACAATGTTTCATTTTTTTTTTCCTGTAAACCACCTCTAATTGTTTTTCAATTCTGTTTCTTTTTCAAATAACTTTAAACTTCTAGTTACATGTGTTTATAACTAAACTTTAAGAAGACATACCCACTGGTTTGCTTCACCTAAATAATATTTCAAATCAAGCATATTGACAAAAAATAATAATAAAGTGGACTAAAACACAAACCCTGATTTTTTTTCTTTTATTTTTTTGTCAGTAAACTCATTTGTCAAATATGCCCACGTGGAAGGAACATTTGTGCTGCTCTTTTGATCTCATGGTATTCCAGGATTTTTCTCTGGCAGGTTCTTGGGAAATTGTTAGGTTGTCTTATCAGCATTTTCACAGTGGCTATTTCTTTAGAACAGTAATGATGACATAATCGAATGAATTTGTTTAAAAATGCTTAAAGTGATTCCTTGCCTCCAAAAGGATGTTTCTTTGTTCAATATGTACCTGGGTGTACTTCTTTCTGAGTAATTCCCACTCAGGGCAAGTAAACAACTCTCCTTTGAGCAAGCAGGTTCTGGGTGTTCTGCTTCGACTTGAGTCAGTATCTTCTATCCTGTCCTCTAACTTGGCACTCTCTTCAGCTCTTAGAGCCTTCTTCCCATTTCCCTATTCTTAATTACTTTCATTTTAACCTGTTGTAGCTCAGGCTTCTAGATAGGTGAGGTCCCCAACTCTAGTTATACTGACTAAACATGTTGAAGAGGGCTTTGCCTAGGAGGCTGCATTTAAATCCACTGAGCTCAGATTTTTTAAAAAATCTGGATTACAAGAAGTTGGGGGTGTTGTGCATGAATCACTGTTTTGTTTGTTCTTATTTAAAAGCTAGTCAGATGATTGCTGTTAGCCTTGAAAAGCACAACTACAGACCATCCCATCTCATGGAAAAGCGAGGCTCATTTTCAAACCTCCGACTTGACGTGACCAATCTGTTCACTCCAGTGGAGAGATCTTTTGAGTGTTTGCACTTAGGGTGAGAGTGCACAGCCAGTCAGCCTGGTCCACTTAAGCGGCCCTGTGTGTCTGGCCTGAAGCAGGAAAGATGTGTAGCAACTGTCTTTCTTCTTCTTCATCTGCTGTTGTAGTCAACCTACTTTCACTTGCTTGCTGGGGGCTGCTGGGGATGGTATCCTTGGCTCTGGAGGCGGGAAACATTACACATGCTTGTCATATTTGTGCTGGTTGAATTGTGGAGGGATTACAGGTTCTGTGAATTCTCTGTCACCTCATTACTAGACAGGCATTTTAACTTTCCTAACTTGACCCCAAGGCAGAGATTTTTTTCAACATTTTATTGAATTAGGTAGAACTGCATGCAGGTGCTGAACTATTTGTAGGGGGCATAGTCTGTGAAGGGGAATTTTCATTCTAGTTCACAGTATTGTATGGAGGTATAATAACCAACTCTACATTTTACTTTTCATCTTTGCTTACTGAACACAAAGAAAGGGAAAAGGCAATAAATACATTTGCTAAACCTTATAAAATGTTCAAAACTATTTCTTTCTTGAACTTTCAAAATATTTTCCTATTAAATTTAAATAAAGAAAAGAGACTTATAGATTAGCAAAAATTGGTTATTTAATTCCAGCTACTTTAATATTTAGATTATTGTAATCAGTGTTGAGAATATAACATGGAAAGCTCATGTTTGAGGTGTTAGCTGTGTGTGTAAAAATGCTTTGTCCTGTGGGCTGCATTGGTCTGTGGGTTTTATTCAGTGACAAGTATTCACCCCATGGATAGGTGGAAAGCAGCATTTGCAGTGTGACACTATTTTTTCTTTACATTTAGTTCCAAGACATGAAGTTAAAAACAATTATATTGTGTATCTCTTCAAACTGTATTTTTAAGTTGATTTTTGTCCATCTTGACCAAAATTACATAAATATTCCTACTGTAGTAAATGTGATTTAAATATTATAGAAGAGAAAAAGTTAGTTTTTAAAATACATTTTGTGATGAAATACATCAGATTGCCAGGGTGTATTTACTCAAGTCTTAAATCCCAATTTTCACAAATTTGAAGTGGCTTTCTATTTTTATTCCTGTCTATTTCTCCTCTAAGAAAAGGATGTATATCTGTTTTTTAGTTTCTTTCCTTTGACTATTGACTATATGGCAGGAGAATTGCTGTGAGCTAAAAGCCAGTCTTGATTATGGAATGAGCCATGATCTCAAAAAGTTAAAAATATGTGAGCTGCAGATGCACTCTGCCTGAGTGTGGGAAGCTTTCTTTTCTATGACTGCAGCTGTGTGGTGAATGGAAATCACAGGAGAAATTCTTCTCTGAAACTAGTTTACATAAACTAAAGCCTGTAACCAGCAGTGCATTGCATCACGAATGACCTTTCCACAGTGCTGTGCTGTCTCTATGGTATGGCTATGTCCATAGTGTTGATGTGTGGTGGGCCACACTTTCTCAGTTCCAGTGAGCAAACTTGGCAGTGTTCACATAGTGAAAGAAATGATTCCTTTCTCAGGATGTAGCCCTGTCTTGACGTGATGTATGTGGTATAGTAAAATCACAGCCAGTATTTAAATGAAAGCTGAGCCGGCGTTAAGTAAGAGCATGGCACTGTGTGAAATGTTTGACGGTTAGGACTCTTGGCTCCTGATTAGGCATGACAGTCTTTCAAATCAGTTGTTACATTTTTCACTGGTGTAACTTCTAAATTTTAGTTGATTGAAAAGTTAAAATACATCAGTTGACTTCACCATTTTGCCCAAGGAATTTGATTGCCCTCGT